TTCCACCGGGGAAACGACCCTTTCCGCGGCTGGCGGCGCTCCCCGCGCTCGGCCCGTCCTGCCCGGGGCTGGGGCCGCCAGGAGCGGGGCGTACCTTTAGGCATGGAAGCGTTTAGCGGTTTCGGCGGTATTAACTCCTAACAGGGTGTGAAAAGTATTGGGGATTGAAAAAGCTGTGGGAAAGTGGATTCTTTCCAAGTCAGGCGGGCTGGAGCTTTCCGCTGCTCTACTGGCGGACACCTTGCGCTGCTCCTGCCGCAGGGCCCCCCGAGGAGCAGCCCCTTCCCGGCGGCTGGGAGCCAGACAGCCCGGCAGGTGCGATGCCCCTCGCAGCTTGACCGTGAGCTTTTATAGGTGGAAAACACAGCATCGCGTTTTGCCACCAGCCTGCCCACCCCTGTCACCATGCCAGCGCCATGGGAGATGCCGCTCGGTGGTAGCTCTTCAGAAGGGGCCCTGGACACACCAGGAAAGGTCTTCCCATCTTCTCTTGCAGCGGGAGCGGAGGCTGGGCCCTGCTCTGCCTCCAGCCGCCGCGGCCCCACTGCCCCGCGCTCTTCCATCCCAGCCCCGCCGCCGCAGGCGGCTCAGCGGCCAAGGCACCGCCGGGCTCCCAGGGGCACCCGCACAAAAGGACTCTTCTCCCAACAACTTCTTGTCGGTTTTTACCGCCTTTCTAAATTTTTCACCAGTACGTCCGGGTTATTTTGAAGTGTGACGGTGCAAATATTTCAGACCTGATCAAGCTGAAGCAGCCATTAACACTTGCTCTAATTAGAGCGGATATTCACAGCGCTGGCCCGGCCTCCCCGAAGGAGCATTGCGATATGCAACCTATATCCACATTCAAACTCTACCTTCTAGCAGGGGGGAGGTAGGGGGAAAAACATCGAAGTTTGAAAAAAAAATATTAAACCTCGGGGCCAAAAAATTAAGAGTAATGATAATAATGATATTGATTATTCTAACGATATGATGATGATGATGGTGATGATAATGATGATGATTATGATAATAATAATAATAATTGTTAGTTTCTCCTCGCCATAGAAGACAGCGGATGGCTAAGAGCTAGCTTTGATAACCTGCGCTCGCCCTGACCGTGGCTGCCCCGGGAAGAGAAGGAAGGCAGCTGCAGGCTCCGGTGCTGCCCCTGCCGCCGCCCTGCCTCCCCGCTCGCCCGGCGCCGCCCCTCGGGTCGGGGTTCGGCGGGTCCCGGTGGCGGTACCGAGGGCGGGGGTGAAGCCGCTGCCGAGAGGGAGCCTTCAGGGGCTCCCCGGGAGGGAGCGGTGCGGGGCGAGCCGCTGGAGGGGAACCGAGCGTCGCATCGCTTACCTGGCTTAGCAAAAGACACAGCAAGAAAAACACTTTTCTGGGAAAAAAAAAAAAAAAAAAGTACAAATCTTCCTCAAGCACTCCCGGACCCGCGTGGCGGGTGATGCACTTGGCCAGCCGAGGGGAAAGGCACCGGCAGCGGCTGTTCCGCCGAGCAGCGCGGGAGCGGCCGCAGCGCCTGGCTCGCTCAGCGGTTCCGAGAAACACCGAGATAAAATGACAGGCTCTTTCTGTGGAGAAATCAATTTCTAAGCATCAGAGAGAGGTTTTAAACAAATAAACTTAAAAAAAAAAAAAGCCCCCCTCCGACCTGTGATTGAGAGACAGTTAAAAATAATTGCCCCTGTTAAGAGACAGGAGACCAGGTTACAGGGAAAACTACCTTCTTTCAAAGCCCGCTAATGGCCATACGATTCATTAGGTTACTTAATCCTAATAACCTTGCTAGCATCAGTCCCGGTGACCCAGCCCATTAAGCACCACCAGTGAAACCCTATAAAACAGGCAAGGGGAATGTCCAACATCTGAGCACATTTATTAGCATTATGTTCCTGAGATAACATGCCCCCGGCTCCCCTGCATACTGCTGCGGGCAGGTTGGGGAAAGAGGGAGCTCTGTTTTCGGAAGGGCTGAGCGCAGGAGGAGGACGCCGCGAGGCGGATGGCTGCTCCCACCGTCACTGTCATTCACGGTCTCCCGTTCTCTCTGCTTTCCTCCCCCGGCCCCCGTCTCTCCAGCCAAACAATAGCTACATTTGTGGCGAACATTTTTTCCTTCTGATTAAACCCAGGCCAACCAATGGCAGCCAGAACGAAGCAAAACGCAGAGAGTAACATTTCGATCATAAACGGGGGTTAACAACTCAAAAAAGAAAAAGAAAAAGAAAAAAAAAAAAAAGAAGGGTGTGGGGGTGAGAGACAAAAAGTCTCTCTTACACCGGAACGTGCTAGTGAGTCAATGCCGTATGACCCTCCGTGAAGGAATCGGCTGAGGGGGAGAGAGGGAAAAGAGAAGCGAGGGAAGCAGCAAGGCCGGCTCCTCCCGTGCCTTCCAGAGCTGCAGACAAACCGGACGCCTCCCCGGCATCTCCCTGCCAGGGTGAGGTCTCTGTAATTTACGACACGCGAGTTGTTACGGTATTTGCCGCTGCTCGGAGCGCGGCTGCTCAGGGCGCAGGCACATGCAAGCGATTAGAAGAGCCAAGGGCTCTCTCCAGCCGGGGACGGACCTCTCCCAGCGCGACTGTCACCCCCTTCCTCCGGCCCTCTCCGGGCAGGCAGGCAGATCCACTGCAGAACCCCTCCCTGGATCTGCAGAGGAGCAAACCGTCTTCGGACTTTGACTCCACAATCCCCCTACCAACACTCTTTATTTTTCCTTTCCACTGCTGAAGAAGAATGTGCCCAGAGGCAGTGGGATGGCGTCAAGGGATGCCGGCCCGGGGTACCAAGGGCTCCCGGCGGACACCGGTCCGGGCTCCCTCCGCTGCCCACCCAGGCAGGAGCGGCCGGGATAACGCCCGGCTGAGCCCAAGGTGATCAGCGCTCAGCCTCCACAAACAGCTGACGTGACCCCTCGCTATTTTCGCAATAGTTTTAACACTGGCAGAGATGAAAGCAAGAAAAGCGGCGGGGAGGGAACCGCTGCGCCCTGCCGAACTGCCCATTCCCGATGTGCCGGCTCTGCAGAGGGTTTGCCGGTGATTAACCCTGAGGGCTGATGCTGCAAGCCCTCCTGTCCCGGAGAAGTGTCCGCCGGGGTGCCAGGGGCACCGACGGCTGCGCCGCAGCGGGGCTGGGGGCGAGGTGCGCCCCGTCCCACACCTCCGCTATTGACCTCAGCCAGCCTGCTGTTAAACGCTTTGCCTCTTTTTAAAATTTTGTTTGTTTTTTCCTCAAGGGCTATTTTAAGCCGTAAAATGTTGGTCTGGCTTGGAACTTGTCATAACAGGAGCCTGCTTTATTTATTGGGTTATTTATTTCTTTTACCAGCAACAATATCCCGAACACAGTCCGGTTGAAAGAAGGAATTCCAAAAACAAGGGGGAAAATAGGGCGTGAGAGGGGGGAGCAGCAAGAGAGAGAGAAGAAAAGAGAGGGAAGAGAGGGAGAGGGTGGGAGAGCAAGACAGAGAAAAAGCAAGAGATGAAGAGGGAAATCTAGAAGAAAGCAAGAAGGAAGAGAGAAGCAAGAAGTGGAAAGAAAGCAAGAGAAAGCAAGAACGCAAGCAAGAAAGAATGAGAGAGAAATGAAAGAGAGAAAGAAAGAGAGAGAGAAAGAGAGAGAGAGAAATAAAAAGAAAAAAAAGAAAGAAAAAGAAAGAAAGAGAAAGAAAGAGCCACACATGCCAGCTTTTCAAAATTAAAACAAGAAGCCTCGAAGTATTCATTTTGGTATTAATATTATTTAACATTAAAAACTCCGGGAACTTCAAACAAACTTCTTTCAGGGAAAAGAAAGAGAAAAGAACTATTCTCTGGAAACCATTTGTTCACAGCTCGAACTGTGCCGTTTTGGCTTAGAAACAAAACTCGAGACGCCCAACCCTGTCCCTCCTCCCCCCCAGCATATATCTTTTCAGCACACATTTTAAAATAAATATCCTTACGAGTCTTTCCAAAATGCCTCCTTGTTATGAATTGATAGGATACAACATACCCCAGCTGCGTGCCTGGGAGTTGGGATTTAGCCCTTTAAATGCCAGGACAACATCTGGGGGGGAAAAGAATTACGGTGGCTTCTCGCCCTCGGCCGGGTGCCGCCGGCGGGGGTGAGCCGGGCACCCCCGGGCAGCCCCGCGGAGCAGCAGCCGCCCACTCGGTGCTCTGGGAGCAGACAGCCCCAGGAAAGAGCCCCCAGCTCGGCAAAGGAGAAAATGGTACTTTTTCTGACTGTCCCCTCAAGCTCTTTTAATTTTACTGTGCTTTTCGTCCTACTGCTCAGCAAGACAACGTAAAAAGAGTATTCAGTATCTAGTTTGCATGGAATGTAATAAAATAGCGGAAAGGTTGCCCGGGATCTCCTCGGCGGTGTCCTGCTTGGGAAACAGGGGCCGAACAGGCGCGTTTTTCTTCCCAACTTAAAATTAATTAAACTTGGAAGATATTTTCGTGGACATTTACTTAATAAAGTTTACCCGTAGCTATTTTTTCCCAGAATAGTGCTTATCGTTAAAAAAAAAAAATCGCAAGAAGAATTTACAGTGTGATCTTCTGTTTTGGGGCTTGCAACAGGTGTCAGACCTCTCTTCGGGGAGAAGAAAATTTATTTTTATATATATATATATATATACACATTAATCTACATACATATATACACACACACACGTGTGTGTGTAGACCATTAAATAAAATGACCGCTTTTCTTTAAACAAAAAAAAAAAGGTAAAAGAAAAATGTTACCTTTTTAAACACCTTCTATGCTTATGCATCTTACACTCAGAATATATTCTATCAATCAAATGATATCATTATATCAAATGTTTCAATCTCTATTTTCTTGTGGATTTTAATGAGATGCTCTAGTGGGAACCATCACCGGTCATCTTTAATAAGATGTACGTTTTTAATCTTATGTGTGGGTACGTCTTTTTAACGTTGGACGAGCAAAAAATGCCTTTGTTTTCAAAACTAAGACACGCGAGTAATGGCATTGCGAATGACGTAAGACTATGGACATATATTACAATTATAGGCCATCACAAATAAAAAAACACCATGAAGCACATGTTTGAGGTGATCTACCTCTAGAAAATTAGTTACAGTTAGTTACTGCCTCTTCTCGCCTCCCTGTGTCCAGCACGATATTACCTTCTCTCCGCCAAGAGCAGGGAGAAAAATAAATTTTAAACACTCCGAACTCGTTGTCTTTCGGGGAGCACAATTTCTAACAGCTGGTTTACAGAGGAGGAGCCAGTGACCAAAAAACCCCTTAACCCAAGGTGATGCACAGCTTTTTAATCCGTGCCCCCACATATATGTTTATGTTCACATATTCCTATATCTAGTGCCTAATGCGCCAGCAGCGCCTTGCTCTGGGAGAGGGAGTGAGTATAAAATCCTCACAGATCTAGCGATTTGAGGCTGCTGCTTGTTTAGGGGAAGCTCCAGAAAGTTTAAAAACTGTGTGTGGGGATAATTTTCCCATTCCTTTAGCACCCCCCGCTCGGCGAGTGCAGACGCCCGCCGCGCCAGGTACGGGCAGGGCAGAGGGAAGGGGCTCGGAGCGGGCAGCCCCGGGGTGGCGGCCACTGCCTCCTGCCGCCGCTGGATGGGCGTGGGATGTGCCCGAGGGACCCCGCCAGGGCACCGTCCGGGGCAGGGAAGGGGCACACCCCCGCCTGCCGGAGCCGGCGCTCCAAACCACGGGTTTGTCTCCCCTCCCTTGCACCCCCGGGACTCGCACCGCAGCCAAGCCAGAACCGGTTTGCTAACAGCAAACTGCCTTCTTCAGAGCCCTTTAAATCCCAGCCCAGCCCCGGGATATCCCCAGCACACGAGGATGCTGTACGAAGGATGCCAAGGCAGCCCCGACCCGGAAAGTGCGGTGGATTCAAGGAGGGAGAGCAGCGAAATATTGAAAGTGCTCGCAGCTGGCAGCTCACCGCAGTACCCATGGGGTCCCAGCCCCGGGGTTGCTGCCCTCGCCCACCGCACACGCCCCAGCCAGAGCAGCAGAGGAGCCTTTTTTTTTCTTTTTCTCTTTTTTTTTTTTTTTTTTTGAAATTTCCCCAGAAAGTGCGGAATTCACACGCAGGAAACTGCAGCAGAGGAACGAGAGGGTTCCCTGCCCTTGTGCTCGCCCAGCCGTCCCCCAGCCACAGCAGCTCCCCGAGCCTGCCTGCACCTCCCGAGGATGGATGTGCTTCATGCCCTTGTCGCGCATGGAAACTCAGGCCATCCTGCGAGCGACGTGTTGCCTAAATAAAGATAAAACGTGCTATACATCACAAGCTTGCCCGGTTATTCTCAATGACTTGTCGATTCCTCCCCCCTCCCCATCCATCCCCCTACCCCCCCGGCACACGTGCAGTGATAGAAAATGGTTTTGAATGACGAAGGGTCACGTAGAGCCATCCTGATCGTTTAGCAAAAATAACAGAGCTATTATGGAGCTGAAGGAAGGAGCCAGGGAGTTCACCCACACGTGCTCCAGTACTGCGCCTCGACTGAACGCACACACATAGGCAAACGTGTGTGTGTGTATGTGTGTGTGTGTGTGTATACATACATACATATATCTCTGCAGCGGCACCGTCCCGTGTGACCCTCAGGACTCTCTCATTAGGCCGTAAATACGTGCACAGATGACAGTGAGCGCTCCTGTAGGGGTGGGAGGAGAGGACGCAGAAGGGCTGCTTGTGTCTTTGGGATGGAAACTCACATAAAGCCTTTTATGAGAGCTCGGGAGACAGCAGTTGCTCACTAACCTACTTTTCTCTCTCTCTCTCTCTCTCTCTCTCTTTTTTTTTTTTTTTTTTTTTCATCTCTATTTTCTTAAACTGGAAATAATTAAATTCTTTAAAGGTTTACTTTCGAAACCGTCGCTGGAGTAAACTATGATTCAGGTGTAAATAATTACCAAAGTCATGAAAGCGGCAACTGCTACATGTGGTTTATTCATTGCTTGCCTTTTTTTCTTTTTGGTTTTTTCTTTTAGTCGTTTGATCATTTTCATCCCTAACTGTCTGCCAAATTCACATATTTGTAATTTACTAAACTTTATCGTTCCTACCAGGATAGGGATGTTGTACATTAGTTTCCAGACCCGTCCTGCCCTGCCCCGGTGAAGAAGCCTGGCTGGATGCTCCTCAAGAAGGGATAACGCTATTACCCTGCTTTTAGAACTGAATAAAAGATGCTTCCCCTTTCATAAACGCTACCAGATCCACTCGATTTTGGGCTCCCGAGAAGAAATGAATTATTAAAGGAAAGAAATTGTTTAAACACAATAGCTACTTGGCTAAATGAAAGCAATCCCTTGGGCAACACTAGCAGGGTTTGGCCAGAGAGCACAATAATATTAAGTATGCGTTAAACGAAAATCTTAGAGAAATAGGACAGACGTGGACGTATAATACACAGCATATAAACAAAACCCCAGGATTTACTTCATGCCTGTTTTCTTCAGCCTGCTCCTATTTTTTTTCTTTTGCCTACACTACAATTTCAACCCATTTGACTCTTCAAAAAGACATGGTAGGAAAAAGGCAGGAAACCGAATTTTTTTTTTCTTGCCGGTGTCTTATTTTAAAAAGTAAATTTTGCATAGTAAGCCACCACTTGAACATGTTCTGGTGTTGTAAAAGTGTTTTTTATCAGGCTGTAAATTACTGCCAGTCTGACAGAGCAGCCGGAAATGTAAATCACACCGTAGAACTGAAGTTATGAAAAAGTTTGTTCCCTTTTCTGCATCCTAGGAAGATCTCGGGGCTGCTGGATTGGGAAGGGAGGGGAAAAGCTTGTTTACTATTTTCCTTCTTCACCAAACTGTTGGCTCCACGGTGCCTGGGACTTTGATGAGAAAGATTGGACAATGTGCAGAGTCCCTTCCTATGACACCCAGGCCACCGCCACTTGGGAGGTCCTTTGGCCTAATGCAACCACAGCTAACTGCTCCCAACAGGAGGCTCTGTGGATCAGGCAGGGTCACAATTATACTTCTGCTAAAGGCAAGAGTTGCCTTAAAAAAAAAAAAAAAAAAAAAAAAAAAAAGAAAAAAAAGACAAAAGGAAAGGGGAGGGGGAGGGGGTGTGCGAGCGGGTGAATTAAAGCCCTTCAATTCATTTGGGGAAGGAAGGACCGAGAGCAGGGTTAGTTGAAACCGTTTCCAACAGGCACGAACGAAATGAGGTTGCTTCCATCCAGAGGGAAATTAGGGGGAATGAGGTCCGGGGCGCTCCTCAAGGGGTTACTCCGACCCCAGGGCTGCCACACCAAATCGCCCATCGGGAGCAGTGGGCCTGCCCCGCCATCCTGGGAAGTGTTTTGAGGGCTTGTGCACAGACAGGAGTCCCCCCTGGTGCCATACACTGCAAGGGCATTGCTTCTCTAAGGTAGGGAAGAGAGAGCTACACAACCACGGTCCACAACGAGCCCTCAAGCACTGATCCACTTGCACGGAGAGGGAGAAGAACTCCAGGAGACGCTACAGCCGATTATCTCTGATTTGGGCACTCGGGAGGCATCAATATTTTATGGAGGTGGGAGGACAGGAATGTTGAAATTCATTATATATCTCGGAAAGACAGAGCTGTTAAAACACAACTGTCTTGCATTTAAGACGTGAAAAAAAGCAGGGAGGAGGGAAGAGGTGGGGGATGTCCCGACCTCCGCCGCTTACCGGGACACCGGCTGCCGGCCCCTGTGGATTCGCAGCTGGCCCGTCCTCCTGGCTCCCAGCAAGCCGGCCGGGTGTGCCCCCAGCGCCCGCCGGCCAGCCTTCCCCTGCTCCTCCGGTTCTTCCTCCGGTTCCCCGTTTAAAGCCCCCAAAGTCACCCCCGGCAGCCCACGTCCCGCCGGCTCGGGGGCTCAGGGCGGATCCGGGTCCCGGTTCCTGCCTCCCGCCGCGGCGGGCGGGACACGGCGGCGGGTCTTGCCTTGTCCCCCCACTCCCACCCCGTCCCCGCGTCTGGGACAAGGGGGCACCTCAGCCACCCAGCTTCGGGAAGCTCCTTTCAGGCGGCGAGACCCGAGCGGGGGAGGAGGGACCGGCTCGGGGATTCGCTCGGCCGCCGGCCCCGGCCCCGGCCCCGCCGCCCCCCGCTTACCTGGACGACGGTCCCCGTGCTCGGCGACGGGCTCTCAGCTGGACGGGGGGGAGAGGGGACGCCTCAGCCCCCCGGGTGCACAAGGGCCCGGTCATGGCCCCCCGCACACCCCAGAGAGCTCCGAGGCGAGGAAGAGAGAGGGAGGAGAGAGCAAAAGCCTTTTTTTCCCCCTTTCTCTCCCCGTTTGAGCCGAAGTGACCCGCAGTATCTGGAGAAGGTTTTTGAAGACGTTTGGGAGGGAGGGAGAGAGTTTTCTGCTGAGAAACTCAATCTGCCATACAGTAGCGACGGCATCTGGGATCTGTCACCGCTGACAGCACCACAGGGCACAGACATGATCTTCCGCACAACACTGCAACTCCCCAAAATACCCTCCTCGCTCCCAGGGTATCTGCCGGGTTGCATCGCTCTCCTCTGCCAAAAGGGGGAAAGCAACCTGAGCCCCCGCAAACAAACACACCGAGGGGAAGGCAAGAGAGAGCAGCCCGGTCTCCCCCTTCCTCTTCGCGATGCTGAACGCTCCGCCGCCGAGGACGCAAGGCGAGAGACGATGTCACGCTCGGAGGGCGCAAAGGCCATAAATGTAGGCTCTCGCGACGCTAGATTCCCGGGAATGACTTTAATGAATAATTTCGGAGACAGTTACGGCTTTAGGTAATTACTGCGCGTCTCTATGAAAACCAGATTTGGGAGAGAGGCAGTCAAGGCCGAGCCGTGTGCTTCGGCTCGCCCCTGCCAGACCGCTCCATACACCACCTCCCCCCATCACCGCCCGACCCCCGGGCGTCCCCGGCCTCCAGCATCCCCCCAGCTGCCGGGGTCCTCCTTCGGGCAGCGCTGCCAGCAACTCTGCGAAGGCTAGAGGCTTCTGGGGGCAGCACCTAATATTATTTTTTTTAAAATATCTTCCGCCTCCTGTATTTTCTGGCAGGACATTTCATTGTCTTTTAGGCCGGTTTTAGAAAACTTCTCTGGGTTTGCACATGTATTTATCTTTTTTAAGAAGTTCATTATAAGCAGCTGTTGCAGCCTATAGCCACATACGGCATGCAAATAGAGACCCCTATAGGAGAGTCGGCCTCTCTATTACCCCCACATGTTCGCCCAATAGACGAGACAGGCGAAACCATTCTACTGCTCTGCATTAAAATTGAATTGTACATTTTTCTACCGAGTCTTTTGGGCAACGGAGGGGCTTGTTTCTGCTTTGAACAGCCTCCACGGTTAGCAGTCGAAGGGCTCCGAGAAGCGGGCCCGCTGATCTCCATTGTTTCGCTAACACATTACTGCTGCTCCCAGGAGGCCGCTCCGGGCGGAGCCGCCCCTCGCCCCCAGCCCGCAGAGCCCTGCGTGCCCCGGCGGGACACGGCAGCTCTCCGCCGGACCCACGGCCTCCCCCGCCGGGGAGACGGCTCCTGGCCCAGGACACGGGGCTGACTCCCCGGGGAGAGGTGCCGGGACGACAGCCTCAGCCCTGCCACAGAGCCGCCACCAGTCGGAGGTCTCCATAAAGGGAGAAATGGGATTTTGCTGGTTTGATTCTGATTGGGAGTATTTTTCTTCCTTTTATTTTTTTTTTTCTTTTATTTTTTTTCTTCCTTTCTCCCTGTACTTCAACAGCTTTTAAAAAATTCACTTACTCCCGCCCGACTCCCTGGGTCGTTTCTGATTGGGAGTATTTTTCTTCCTTTCCTTTATTATTTTTTTCTTTCTTTCTTTCTTTCTTTTTTTTTTTTTTCTTCCTTTCTCCCTGTACTTCAACAGCTTTTAAAAAATTCACTTACTCCCGCCCGACTCCCTGGGTCGGTGGCTATGGTGGGAAGCCGAGCTCACAGCATACCGTTTGCACTGATTCAGAAAGGAAATGTTCCTTTTCCTTTCGAGATTACGGATAGACACAGAGGAGCGTTGCGGTATCCTAGGGGGTTTATTTTATTTTATTCTGCTGGAACAAAGAAATGGAAGTATTTTTAAATTTGTTTTTAGGGTCACATGGGGCTTTGTTTTTCTTTTCTCCCTCCTCCTGGCAAGCGTATTTTACCGCGAGAATTTAATCCTTCAGATAAATTGTCTAGCATTATCTTTTTCCTCTGGAGACGAGATCAACTGCTTTCTTATCCACCCCCCCGCCCCTCCTTCCTGCTAGTAGCACTGATTGTAATGTACAGCTGGACAAGTGTCAGCCGTCCAAGACTGCGCACAGCCAGCGGAGGCTTAAGTTGTATTTATTCAATTATTTTTTTTTATCTCCTTGGAGGAAAAAATAGAGTGATACGAAACATGAAAAAAAAAAAATCGTAAAGTGAAAAGTTTGTCAAAATAAGCGCATCAAACGTCGGTTTGGGTCCCGCTGAGCCAAGGCTGGCTGTTCAACGTGACCGTCAGCCAGCCCCAGCTCTCAATTAGAGGCGATTCATTAGGATTTAATAGCAGGTGCAAAGCCATCTCCTTGCCAGCAGCACTGCCGTTTGGGTAGGGAATTGTCTTGTTCCACAGCAGCCTCCAACTCTCCCGGCTCGTTCTAAACCTGACTGCCACTTTGGATAACGGGGTGTCGGCGCGCCTGCGGCTGCCCGCACGTAAGCGTTGCACTTTGTTGGGCTAATTTCTCCCTGCCAAGACACAAGGTGGAAATCTGCCTGGCTCGATATTTATTTTGGAAGACAGCGCTGCGGGCGAATGCGCTGGGAGAAATCGGGCTGAGATAAAGCAAGCGCTGGGCCGGGGGGAGCGGGGAGGATGGGGGAGTAACCTGCCCGCGGAATGCACCGCTCCTGCTTCTCCACGTCCCAAACACACTCATAAACAAACAACCTCGGCAGCAAACTCAGAAGAGTCGGAGCCTTCGGGGCTCAAAACCGGGCTGTACCGAGGAGCCTCGGGGCTGGAGCGCCGCGTCCCGCTGCACCCGCATCCCAGCTGGCCGGGCCGGGGCTTGGAAAGCGTCGCCGTGATTACACCCAAGTGGAGAGCAGGATGGCTCCGAGCCGTCTGATCTGACGTCAACATGTCTCTAGCTCCTCGCTGCAAGATAGAGGGAGCAGAGCCGGGGGAGGGACGGCTCTAATCATTCCCAGATGTCTCTAATAGCAGATATAAAGACTTATATAGTGTCTGAGAATAAATTTGTAATCAATGCTCTAAAAATCGCATCATCAAAGCAATGGTATTTCTCGAGGAAAATGGGGTTGGGGGAGGGAAAACTGAGGAAGAGGGAGACACACATCACACTGGTTTGGAAGGAGGGAGGCACAGGGAACCTCAGAAATCCGCTGGCCTCGCGCATCACTCGGCTTTGCTAAAATTTATGTGAATATATAATTCAGATAACAACTCCGCTTTACTCTCCATTGTATGTGACAAGCTGAACATAATTGGCCAATTAGAAATAGAAAAGATCGGAGCTGGTTTGGAAAGGCGTATATTTCACGAACCGCAGAAAAAAAAATCCCAAATTAAAAATATATAAAACATTGATAAGCCCTTCGTTACAGCAGAGGGGATTATGTCTGGAGGCGTGCAAAATGCGTTTCCTTCCCATCGCTACTTGGAGATTTCTTCTGGGGGTATTTGTGAGTCGCTGGGCGAGTACGTGTGAAAAAGGAGGATTAAGGTTAGGTTTCCAAGCGCAAAAGGAGGATATTTTGCTTAGAGGTTTCACTATTAACCTTTTCTCCCCACCTCCCTGCGCACCTTTCAAGTTCATGCTGTCTCCATGACATCCCCCAGTCCTGTTTATATCCCGCGTATGGCCCAGCGTTCCTTCTGGGGGTGCCTTTGGCTTGGCCGAGAGGCCCCAGTGCACCTCTTTGACAACGGTATCAAACGAGAAATAATTATTGCAATAATCTTTTGAGGCAAAGAAGAGCTCCTGGGAACCACGGGGGAGAGGGGAGTACATGTGGAAAAAAAAAATCCCCAGACCACAACACTAAGCAAAACGAAGGAAAAAAATCCTCTCCACATTTTTTTTCTCTTTTGCTTGCCGGAGTGCAGGCATGGCATACACATCCGACAGCAACGAGGTCCCGCATGTTGCAGAGTCCCCCAAAACTCGGTACTGCCAGCGTCTGATAGGCTCGCTGCCAACAGCGCAGCACAGAGCCGGCCCCTCGCTGCTTCCCCGCTTTCCAAAATCCGGACGAGCACTAAAAACCCACGCTGCTGTTTTCCTCGGGGCCCCCAGGAGACACGCAGCCGCTGGGGAGGTCCTCGCCTCCCTGCGAGGGGGCGAGAGCGCTGTTTCGGGGCCGCAGCCGGGCCCGCACCCCGGGGAACCGAGGGGCCGCTCCCGGGGAGGGAAGGGGAGGCGGGACTTCACCCGGGGGAGTTTTGTCGCTCTTCCTTTTCAAGGGTAGAAAAAAATGAAAATGCTGTGTTCTCTTGAAAGAGAGCAGAGGGCCTCGCTCCCTTAGCCATGAGACGAGGCTACAAGCCTAAAACACGGACCCGGGAGTCAATCTGAGGGGACAGCGCTTCAGCGACCCGGCTGCTCTCCACCCTGCCCTCCCTTCTCTTTTCCTCCCTGCACCCACAGAGAAAAGTCGCAGGGTGGGAAAGGCTGCTATCCCTCCTCTCACGTGCCTTTAACCTAGGTAAAATCTCCCAAAAATGTTTTGGCCCCAAGGAATTACCGGAGGGATCGGCGGGACGCCGATGCCCCGGGTGCGGGCAGGATGCGGAGCGCAGCCCTCCGCTGTTATCAGGCCTCGGCTCTGCCGCCGGAGAGCTGAGGCCAGGGCACTGACATCCCCATCGACCATCAATTTACCTTCTGCTTCCCCATTTAGCTTTTAACGTCAAAACCTACATTTTTGTCGGCTCCGGTCTGTCTAGGGCTCCTGTGATTTAGCTGCGGGAATGGCTGCTCCTGAGAAAATAGCAACATTCTCGTTAGTGAGCAATTAAAAGAGATCCTCCTTGGCGGATTCAGAGGGGCTCCCTGTTCTGATAAACTGACGTTACAAAACCGGAAAATTATTAATGTGGAGATATTGGACAGGCGTTTTCTCTCCAATTTGGAGGCTGGAGACCGGAGCCGCTCGCCGGCCCTACCGCGCATCCCCCGGAGGAGTTGCAGCCCACAGACTTGGTCGAGGGAGGACACAGTACCTGCAGAGAGGCTGCCCATGATGTGCCCCACCACAGCATTCGCAGCCACCCCTCACCCCTTTTATTTTTTCCTGTGCCGCTACCAAAAAACAAAAATTAAAAAAAAAAATCCAAACCAAAACAAATTGTTTGAGCAGGGAACGCAGAGTGCGAGAAGCTCCAGTTCATCAGCTGGGCAACTAACAGGCAAGGAAAAGCAAACAAGGGGGCAGATTCTTCTCTCCAAGTGTTATAAACAGAGGCAAGTGTCTGTAAACACAGACCCACGCCGGATAGCAGAGCCGGGCTGCCTGACCCGACGGGAGGGAGGGCACATCACTTTTGTCTGGTTGTTGTAACCCCGCAACCTCCTCACTGTCAGCAGGGGCGGCGAAACGGCGCAGGGGCTCCCTTATCTTTTTATGGGCAATTGCACATCTACCTACGCTTACTGCTGGGTCTGGTTGGGCACCACGTCCTTAGGCGCGGTGGCACGGGAAGGCCGGCAGGTACGCGGCCCTGGACCTGGAGAGAGACCTAGCCTGAAGCGATTTAGGTAAAAGTTTAAAATACGAGCCCTAATTTTATTATGGAAAAGGTGGAAAACATTGCCCTTAATCAGGAATGGACAAAAAGTACCTAGACCAGCTTCCTTTAGTGAAAACCACTCATTTTTTCCCTTGCGTTCCTACGATACAGAAGGATGCCACGCATTTCCCAGCACTGAACTCTGCAGCTCGCCCTGGTACTGGGGAGCAGAAAAGCCGCACCGGGATCCTTGTAAAGGATTCGATAGACGCGGCGAAATATTTAAGGGAAGAAAGATCTTGTTGGTGAAGCAATGAACGCACTAAAAAGAGCCAGAGCGTGGGCTGCTGCAGTTCGCAGCTGGATAAAAAAGGTTAAAAATAATTATACTCGCTGTGGCGTACTGGAAACGTGCAACCCAGGAGAGTTTTAGGAACCACAAAGTTAATATTAAGTTCATCGTAGCTCATTGTAAATCTTACCTATTCCCTACAGCACACCCTCCCCACCTCCCCCACCCCAGACCCCCGCAAATCCCTTGCCTTGTTCGCTCTTTCTTCCTTGACGTAGAATTACCTGCTACACAATCACTCCGAGCAAAGCTCGCCAGCCTCCCTCGCCTGCCTCCGGGCCCTCTCCGGGACGCCGCCCCCGCTGCGGGCCCGCGCCTGGCACCGCCCGGGCTCCGGCGGCACCGAACCCGCGCGTGGTGCTGCTCCGGACCCGCCCGGCTTTGCACCCTTGTCCGCTTCCCGCTCGCAGTAGGTCTCCTGCATGGAGAACACCACCACAAGGAATTCCTATTCAGATGAACTGCCGCTTTCTGTTCAACACTCACGGGGCTGAGAGATCCCTCCCTCTACCCCTCCTTTCATTCAGTCACTTGTTTAAAAATAAAATTAGGA